GCCCACTTACAGGCATTTATCTCATTGGATTAGATAGGATTACCTCGGCGTATCCACGGCCATTGTAGATAGTTGCTATGATGAAGTCCAGAACCATTACCGGTTCTGGCAATATGTTCACATGTAGGTATCTGAGGTCTCACAGTAGCACAGTGCCAGGGGCCCTGCCCTACATGTATATAAGCCCATGAGGATCTAAGGGAGAACCTTAGATTCATTATACTATTGTATGCGGCCAGCAGGCCAGCTCCCCCCTTTCACCTTTTGTGCAAGGCCATGCATTGGGGCTTTGCCTTGATTGCTGGTTGTATGCCACTGTGCACCATCCTCAGCCTAGCCCTTGTGGCAGGCTTTTATGTTGTGGATTTATTTGTGCAGGTCACACAAGCAGACTTGTCCTTAATTGAGTTAAGTGCTTTGTGCTTTGTGACACGGCCGCACCAGCGCTCGCTCCCGCCCCTTTATCCGTTCCTGTACCACGCCGATCAACGCGGCAACCTGTCGAAAGCCGAGCACTGCGAGAGTCACGAGAGGCCACCCAGCATGAGAAAGAGGCCCGCGTGCATGGTGAATCATGGGCCAACGATGAGATCGCGTCGACCGCGGCCTACATTGCGGCATTCACCGCCGACGGTCATTCTGCATCTGTTGCTTCATCAGACCCATTCATATATGAAGGCGGGACCTGTCCTACCACGTACAAATAGGCCATGGCTACGAGCGAGATATGGGCACCTGTGATGGACAAAGAAATGGATGGTCTAATCAAAATTGGTGCTTGGAAGCTCGTACCTCACCAGGATCACATGAACGTTGTGGGGTGCAAGTGGGCATATGCTCAGAAGTACAATGATGTCGGGAAGTGGAAACTGAAGGCACGTCTTGTAGCCAAGGGGTTCCATCAAATCCCGGGCGTCGACGTCTTTGAGACCACCGCATCGGTTGTCCATTTTGAGTCTGTGCGCTGGAGCATGCCCTGTATGGGGTAATGCAGTCTGGCCATGAATGGTGGAATGATCTCGACAGCACTTACCAGGACTTGGGGTTCATGCGGTCCTGCACCGATGAGTGCATTCGTGCGCGCATTGACGATCATGGTCTTTCCATCACCGCTACCTATACGGACGATATCACTTCTGCTGCCGATTCTGCGGATGGGCTAGCCGTTACTCACGGGGACTTAGTGGCACGCTACAAGCTTAGTGGGGGAGGCGAGCTCACCTACATGCTTGGGGTTGCTATCGAGCGTGACCGAGCCAAAGGCACGCTGTGTTTGACCCAACATGCATACACCTTGCGTGTCCTAGAATGCTTTGGTATGCAAGATGCGAATCCTGTCTCGACGCCCCTGGAACCCAGCATGAAGCTTTCGAAACTGACTAACCTTGTTGCACCTGATGATGCAACGGAGATGGCAACCATCCCATACCGCGAGGCACTGGGATCGATCATGTATCTCTCTGTCGCAACTCACCCTGACCTCTCGTATTCCGTGCAGGTTCTTAGCCGATACATGGCAAATCCGGGGATTGAACATTGGCGAGCCCTCAAGAGAGTGCTGTGTTATATCAAGGGGACAGTGGACTATGGGATCACTTACTACAGCGCGGATCACCCAAGGTCGAGCCTCCAACCTGTCCTATACTCGGACTCATCCTATTCTGATTGCGCGGACACTGGCCATTCGACGCAGGGGCACATTATGATCATGGCAGGTGGGCCTGTGTCTTGGAGCTCACGCTGCCAGGAGGTTGTGGCCCTATCGACCACCGAGGCAGAGTATATTGCGGCTGTTCATACCGGACAGATGGCATTGTGGATAGAGAAGTTCATGGTTGACGTGTTCCTTCCGATCAGCACTCCAGTGGTCATAAGGATGGACAGCACAGGTGGGGAGAGTCTAGCAAAGAGGGCGGTAAATTTTACGCGCATCAGGCACCTCAACGTCCGATATCATTGGTTGCGCGAAGCGATACGACAAAAACAGATTGATATCGCACACATACCCGGGACCGAAAACCCCGCTGATATTTTCACCAAGCCACTCGCACAGCCCACCCTTCGCAAACATTTGGACATGCTGGGTGTCGCGGTCTAGGGGGAGTGTTGGAACGAGACCGCTCAGGAGCGATGGGGAGAATGGGGAGGAATGGATTGACGGGTTTGACAGCGCGGTCACGTGGTTGGCGCGCACCTACATAACGACGCGTTTCTCGTAGTAGACACCTCAGTCGAGTACGCCATTGTACGGCACGGCTGAGGTGAGTCTCGGACACGTTTTCCCTTTCGTTTATCGGACATTGGACTGATTTTATCGGTTAGACGTAGCGTTGCGTTCATAACAGGTACAGTAGTAGAGTTGAGTACGCCATTGTACGGCACGGCTGAGACGTAGTGTTGCGTTCATAACACTCCTCATGGCGTACGTAACTTCCGCTAATGATTTCCGTCCAACTTTGATGACCATTGGGCTGCATCAGTCCCCTTACTACAGCGGTACATTTTTGGCATACATTGATTTCGGCGAGAGCTATCCTCAGGTGGCTCCAGAAATGTATGCATTTCGGTTCTTGCAAGGACGTGCATGACACTTACCCATCCTTCAGTCGATTCATAACTCCTATCCTGCACCCCAACATCAATCCAGGCGTGAGTGTCATAACGATAGATCATGTAGCTGAAATCACAGCCAACTGGCTGTTATATCAATTCCTGTGAGTAGAGCATGGCTACAATCCATCGCATTGATGCATCAACTAGTGCTATGATGAAGCACTTTCAAAAATTACGCACTACTACAATGCATTATGCTGATGCATCGCAAATCGCTCTAATAAAGCATTTCATTACTTCGCAGTTTATCTGATGCATCATGTAGCCTGTAAAGCGTCATATGATGCATCACTATATGCTATGATGAATTGTAATGATGCATCACGGGGCACTGTAAAGCATATTACCGTATGGCCTCGGTATTTTGATACATCGTGTTGTATTGATGCTACGTCCGGCTAGAATCACGTTCCGGTGCACGGAAAGTCCGACCGTTGGCACATCACGTCTGAAAGGGGGATGTTGCGCTCGTGCTTCTGTCGATCATCTTCACAAAAATGATGGCGCATCATCCACCCTTTCGGATTAATGCTGGGGGCTGCACAGTCTATATTAATAACCCTTCAGTCTAGTTAAGTGAGTATTCGGATCACTTACGGTAAGTGAAATAGTATACCACTCTTATGAAGGAATAAATCATAGCGATAGCGAAGGTGCGTGGAGCTCGACTTAGTGATGTTGTGGTTCACAAGCGCCCAAGCGCGGTTCCCTTCCATTGCTAAGTCAGACTTCACATTTTTAAAGGATGCCGTTTATTGTATCATCATGCAACTTTGTCAAATTGTAAAGATATATCTCATTTACTATATTACCGACTATACTAATTTTCTGAACAAGCTGGACATCAAGAAACGATACCATGAGAAGGCTAATCGACGACAATAACGACCAAGAACTACCAAGAACGCATGGGCCAAGTGCCCTGATACATAGTACGATGGCAGGTGCGAGTGGCAGTGCAGCGATGAAGAACGAGAAGACGGTTCGTCGACGGAGCAGCAAAGCATGCGACCACTGCTGTAAAACAGACCCATGAAGAATGTTCGCTTCAAATCGAGAAGATTGGCAGAAATGCTTACAAGAGCACCTATGCGTGCATACAATCCCAGCCCGAATCAGTCCGCATGCTACGTCCTCGCCTTCTTATTCCTTCCACCTCTGCGCTGAGCAATTTGACCTGTAGGTTGACGTTTTTGCCCAACTTCGGACGGTCCATTCTCCTTCGCGCATTGTTGTTTTTCTTTCTCTACTCGCTTGGCTCCGCTCGCAGGCAACACCCGCTGCTTCCAAAGTGGCGTTGCGTCCAGTCGCACTGGCTTCTTCGTCTGACGTTTTGGGTGGCTGGAAGCATCGGAGTCGGCATTGGGCTGCTTGGCAGTCATAGGGGGAGGCACTGAAGAAGTGGCAGCGTCAGCTTGCTGCTCATGTGACACCTGTGCAGCAGGCGAAGTCGCGCCCAGGCCGGTGGCAGTATCTCCCTGAGAGTTCGGAGCCTCCATTACCGGTAACACAGCAGCTGAAGTGCTCAGTACCGATAAGGATGGGAGTGATGATGGCAGATTCGGGGGAAACAAAAAGGTACTGGGGGCCGCAGACATGCTCGATGCGGTTGGTGCCTGTATGACCAATGGATTGTCAATGTGTGAGGTTGCGGTGATCAGCGGCGGAAATAAGGGTGCATTCAGAACCTCGGTGTATGAGAAGTTCGTGAAATCAAAGTTTATATCATACGCGTTATCGAGGCCAATATTCGTCATCTCCGTAAGCATGCCATTGTGATCGGACAAGGTCCATGGTGTCTCGGACTGCTGATTCCAGCAGCGCGCATCGTACCCTTGGATCTGCTCAGCAGTAGGATGAGCATGCCGCGGGCCCTGCTGCATTGCTATGGAAGCGGAATAGATTGGTGTAGGAACAATGCAGGTGGTGGCCGGTGCAACTGTGGACACCGCGATGGGCAGGTGAGAGGGCATGATATCATCGAGACCCAGTGCGTTGGATGCAGGCGGAAGGGTGTTGATCTGAGCAATAGAAGGACCGGCGGAACCGGGGCACTCCACTGAGGATGTCGTACGGTATGAAGTCACAGGGCTCACGTCAATGGCAGTCTCATTGCCTGACTGCCCCAAGGCTGTAGGCTCCTCGATGCCATCATTAGTCACCGACACGTGGATGCCATCTTCATCTGACAGTAGGGCAGTGTCCGAGTCGGCATCCACGTTGTCCAGGTCAAGTTCCATGCCATCCAGTACTTGCTGTAAGTCATCCGGGTCGAGTTGAGAGACGCGCTCATTGTTCAGCTCACTATGGGCATCCTCGTCCTCATCCCGATCCTCAGCCAATGCTTGCAACGTGAACCTTGCTCGAACGTCAGCAGCTACAGATAATTAGCTTTTCACATCAATATCTTCGATTGCATGCGGACATGTACTTACGATAGACGACATTGAGGAATTCGATATACGGTTTGATAACCTGTGACTTGAAGTCTGGTTGGACATCTCCAAAATGGTGGCCGACAGACGTTTTCCCATGATGGTAACTGGACATGATGCATCAGCGCGCATTTCATCAATCAAGATAATCAACGTACGAAAAGGTCCTGATATCACCATCTTCCTCAGGGCAAGGTCCGCCACCAAAGAGACTGAAGGACCATCCTGTCTTCTGCGCGAGCTCTCCGAGAAACTTCCTCACTATGGATGGAAGAAATTCGAGCATCCTGGATACGAGGATTAGAAGTGAGATGGAGAATAGCGCATAACATACTGTTGCTGTGCTGCAGGCATGGGCGTAACCTCTGATCCTTCACCGTCCTCATTGCGAACGTCCATCTGCGCTTCAAATTCAGCCTGAACCTCTTCTTTGATGGTCTCATCTTCCTCGGCAAACGCTTTCTCTGTCAGAGACTTGATAACGGTGAGTGTTTGCTTCAGCCCGAGCGACTGCTCTGCGATGGCCTTTTTGACATCGGCTCGGACCTTGGTATTGTAGTACTTCTGAGAATAGATTTCCACAAGCTTGAGTCGGCGTCGACCAATGGGCTTCGTTGCGCCACTGAGGTCCATGTCAAAGCGGGCAGGGAGTTTCCTCCCATCGTGATGCCGAGTCTTGGCAGATCTGTTCCGAAACCATGAGCGTAGTTGCTGTATGCAACACGTGCATGTCAGTCAAAGTAAACTTCTATATATATCACGGTGCGTACAATTTTGCGATGCTGTATTGCCATGGTGTACTGTGCCTCCTGTTCATTAGTCAATTCTGCGATCTCACCAAACAACTTCTCGTGCTCAGAGAAAAGTTAGAACCACTCGTGATCCAGCTCGACCCAGAACTTCCGCAGAGTCCTCGCCTTCTGACTCTTGAGATAGCTGCTATACTTGTTCTCAAGGAAGTTGCATTCCTCGTCTGTCATCCAGCGTCGAGCAGGCATGTTGTTGAATCTAAAGAAAGACATGTGAGCATGAGCAACGCGTAGGAGAGGGGAATGATACATTACGGATGCACCACGATGCATCGCCATGCTGTAGTGGTGCTTTTAACTTCATATGCTCAAGCGAATCAAAAGGAGTTGCGAACAATGGCGATGACGTCCGAACAGTGGCCACCGATGTACAGAGCATGCCATGAGGTGTGAGCCAATTAATAAATCACACTCACGAGTGGCCTGATACGCTTTTAAACCAGGCCATCTGGATAAGGACCGCAGAAGCGCACCACAGATTCCATCCTCTCTCGCTTTCTACCAACAATGTCGAAGTCCACCGGTAGCCGCAGTGGCAAGGATCGTGCTGAGCCAGAGACTTCGAGGCATGACAGCAATGAAGAGAATATGTTTTCACTGGAGATGATGGTGGCGGCACTGCGTCTTGTTGCTGAACAGCGTGCTAGTGAGTTCGTTTTCTTTGCGATGACCTTGAGCAACACTCACATTTGCAATGCAGCTGAACGCAACGTGCGTCGCCAGCAAGGTAAGTCAATAAATATGTCGCCTTTGCGGAGGCCACTTTTTCGGACCTAAGTCTAGCATCCTGCTTGTTTTTCAGAGCAGGAGGATGTCGGCTGCAACTCCATATCTTCAGTAGTTCGTGACCGATCCCCCAGCATCACCACGGTCTCTTCTATCGCATCGACCTCCACCGCACACAATGCCTCTGTCCTGGTCACCACGGAGTCGAGCAGCAGCAGCCCAAGTAGCCCACGCACCCACGAGGCTGAATATGCTGGCTTCCAGCACGTTAATGCTGAGGAGAGGCCTGAGCGCAATCGTGATGAGGCTGGGCCCATAGTGGCCTTCGAGCAGCCGCCTTCAACGCGTTGGTACTGTATCATCCGTGGCTGAGCAGTCAGAGTGTTTGCTGGGTGGTAAGTGAACCTCGCTGTACAATCTGGTAGTCCTTGACTCACAGTGTAACATATATCAGGCCAAATACGTCTCCTCTCGTCACCAATGTGCCGGGATCCCTGTTCCAGAGGTACCCCACATTCAATGCTGCCCTCAATGCTTTCATGGAGGCCTCTACAAATGGGCACGTTGCCGTCATCTTTGTCTGAGTCTCTTGAGGATGAAATGCTGTGACCGCGAATTGTCGGGGATGTAATAAATAGATTCGCTCACCTGTCATCTTGTTGTGCCCCTGGCCGCTCTCCACTCTGTTGCTCGCATACGCTATCAATAATCGTGTCCTCTTCCGTGCTATGTACCCCGTTCACTGTGCTGTATGTACATACATTAGCTTCTTGTCAGCAGCGATGCTCGTTCGCATTCAACTAGTTCCTACCTGTCAGACATCGAAGTAGCACCATCAGCACTACCCTGTGGATTTGTACCTTGCCAAAGCTCATCATGGGGTGTCGTGCGAAGTACCAGACTTTGGGCGAAAGGGTCGCAGCAAAGCGAGAGCAACAAAAGAGGTATGCGCAGTCAGCCAGGTAGGCACAGCAGTATGTATGGTGATGAACTCACGAGAATGGATGCCAATTGACAGAGGTCATGCAAAATGTGCAATGCAGAACAAGAACGCATATAACGCACGCACCGGATCATACCCCAGCCCGTTCCACCATACCATCCTCGGAATACCATCTGAGGTGATAACCCTAGCACGCCGTCCATTCCATGTGGGCAGTACTCCTGAAGATTCATATGACCTGGGCATATGGGCGCATCCATTCACTCTGGAGATCCCGGATGAGTTACAGAACATTCCGAATGATGACGACCTGTTCGAGGGACCTCAGCAAGATAAAGAGGAATTAGCATTAGGCCTTCATGCAGCACAATTCCAACGCTTCAAAGATGTGGGGTGGTTGAGGTTAGACCGATGATCAGAAGACAGTGACAAGGAAGCATTGTTGGGAGAGATAAACGACGAGATTGAGCAAAGGCTGGAGGCGTGGCAGCGTGCAGCAGGCAATAATGATCCACATAGTAGCGCACTGGCAGATGTCGCCCGTACCGTCGGCATAGAGTGGAGTGCGAAGATCATATGCTGCTTGAAGGTGGAGCAGCAGATTGGGGAAGGAGGTTCAGTTGAGATGGACAGAGCGAGAAGAGCGGGCGAACTGCCGTGGCAATGTATGAATGCACGTCGATAGATGGAGACAATAATTGCTGAACTGAAAGTTGTTGGAGTGAGCGAGCGACATAGCAAGGACAGTAGATGATGTGACGAATATCAGGCTGAGCGTACGATTAAGTTGCGCAACGCTTACTGGCGCTATACTGAGTGTAACCAGAATTTGTTGTCCTTCGATGTAATTTCTGGTTACTTCGTCTCTCAATGTAAGCCATATAATTCTTCTGGTTCTATAGACTGTTTCACACATTTTTATTACCTATAAAATGATTTTCTACGGTACGCTGACTTCAAAACAGACTGGCCGTCGATTTCAGCATGGTCAATATTACGATGCTGATTGGCTGGATGCAGGACGTGTCGAGCACATGCTCCATGACGCATCAGAAATCTGATTGCAAATAGACAACAAATGACGCACTTGTGCCGTGTCAAAAATTTGATTGGCCAGACGTGAGACACGTCGAGCACGTGCTTTTTTCTGTCACGCCCATGACGTGTCGAAAAATCTCATTGGCCGGATGGGCGACATGTCGAGAATACAATGACATGCTCATGCATGTCGAAAATCTGATTGGTTGGACATGCGACGCGTCGAGCACGCGCTTGTTTCTGTCGTGCCCATGACGCGTCAAAAAATCTTATTGGCTGTATGCGCGACGCGTCAAGCACGTGCTCTCTTTTCTTGTGCGTTCATGCTGATGTATTCATGCTGACGCATTCGTGAAGTCCTTGACATGTCAAAAAATCCTTGCACCCCAGTTCTCCCCTCCAGCATCTGAAAGAAGATATACCATGTATGATGCCCCTGGCATGTGTGTTCCTCTGGAATAATGAGGGACTCATCAGGTGTGTCTGTTTTTTTTCCTGCATCATTATCAATTTAAATACCCTTTTAATACTCATAGAGTCGTACTATGCCCTTGAGGGCATGCAAAAGTTTCAGTTTGCACATAAAAGGTCCGTGCCATTTTCTTTACAGTCGGTTCATTCAGCTTTTGATGATCACAAACTGAACAGCTTTGCACTGCGTTAGAGACTTCATCGTGCAGATGTCTGCATCAAAGTGACAGCGCCGTCAACGCGACCGTGACTTTCGATTCCATGACAAATCAGACAATGAAGATCGAGTCTCACAATCTCGACTACCTCCTCATGCTCTCAGCAGACACACCGACCTATACACCCGCGATCATGGGCTTTCAGCCCGCACTTCATTTATTGCGACAACCGCTTCCACCGCAAGTACATCTCTTACGAACGACAACGATACAGCTACATCCTATCTACCTGAAGCGGAAAGCATGTCCATTCAAGATTCTACGTGGGACGATTCTGGCCTAGCCAATATCAATGTGGATTACATTCATGAGCTTCCTGACATGGACGAACGCTTGAAACGGTGACGACGCACTGCAGGTGTGAGTGTTAAACTTCATTTTTATCTGGATATGTTAACAATAGTCTCATAGGATCATCCTCTCCACGAATGGATACCGCATCACAACGAATGGCTGGCAGAACTATTGCGCCATGAAGGCCGCTGTGGATTTACAGAGGAGAAATGTCCACGTTGTCAAGGAGCCACAGCTGAGATCCGTTGCGTCGACTGTGACGATCTCACGCTCTATTGTCAAGAATGCACCGTCGTGATGCACAAGCAGAACCCATATCACCGTTTGAAGGTAAGACCATCACAACTATTCCATCATGCAATCACTGATGTCCTGACTCGCAGGTCTGGGTACAAACGCATTTCCGGCGCAAGACTCTCAAAGACGCTGGCCTTCGCATTCAGGTCGGACACCCATCCAGCATGCGTTGCCGCAATCCTGAGCGCGCCTGGGGTGATGACTTCGTAGTCATGGACATATCTGGCATCCATAGCGTCGGGCTAGATTTCTGCAATTGCGAAATGGCTCAACCCCACGACATTCAACTTCTCCGTGCTCAGCTGTTCCCTGCGACAAGTGACAACCCAAAGACGGCTGCAACGTTTCGGCTGCTTGAACACTTCCACCTCCTATCAACACAAGCAAACATTTCAGGTTTTCGGTTCTACTCCATGCTTGAGCGACGCACGGATAATACGGGCCTGGACACACCCAAGGTGAGACCTTTCTGCTTTTGTATAACATGCTGAACTCATGCTGCAGGACAGGATCGGTACCCTGAGCTGATGCGCATGATGCGTCAGTGGCGACACCTCAAGATGCTCAAGCGCTTTGGCCGTGGTCATGACCCAAGCGGAGTGTCAGGGACTACGCCTGGCAGTTGTGCTGTGGAATGTCCGGCGTGCCCTCACCCCGGAAAGAACCTCCCTGACAATTGGAAGGAAGCTCCGCCCGAGCGCAGGTACATACTTCCATTAGCTTCTCAATCATGCCTTAATGATGGTCTATGAGAAAGGTGGCTCTATCGGCTATTCCTCGGCATGGACGCGAACTTCCGGCTCAAGCGGAAGAATGTCTCGTCTGATGCCGCCGACCCAGGACTCAATACAGGGATCGCCTTCTTCATTGAGGAAAAGCGATACAAGGCGCATATCAAGATGTACGGCAAGGTTATCAAGGAGGAAACCAGTACATGCAACAACCATGACGCAGTCAAGCTCGCAAATTTGAAGGGTTCTCAAGGTACAGCGGCAAGCGGAGTGGGGACAGTGGAATGTTCTCGCCATGACATGAAGCGGCCGTGTTCTGTCGGAGACCTGCAGAAGGGAGAGCGGTACGTTTCCTGTGTGATTATAGAGCCCGTTATGTGTTTGACCAGTATTTCTCAGATACGTCAATATGGATTATCTTTTTTGGAGCAGCATGCAGCAGAACACCCCCATCTCTATTGTGGTATCATACGACATCGCATGTCAGTGGTCGGTCCACTTTTGGGAACGCATGGCATTGTACGAACACCATTTCGACAGGCGCACTATCACCTTTCTCATTCCGAAATTTCATCTACCCGCACATCAAGAATCTTGTCACCTTCGATACTCATTCAATATCACACCGCAAGTCGGACGCACAGACGGCGAAGCTGTGGAACGCGGCTGGGCAGCTGTCAATCCCTTTGCTTCCAGCACTAAGGAGATGGGTCCCGGTTCGCGTCGAGACTTGCTAGATGACATCTTCGGTGCCTATAATTGGAACAAGATTACTCGCATAGGTGCGTCGTGGTAAGATACATGTAATAGACATCATCTAATGCATCTGAACAGCGGAATCCATGCTCACCAAGATAACAAATGCCATTGAAGAGCACAGCACCCATGTCGCTGCCTTCCATGAACTTTCGGCGGCTCTTCCTACAGAGCACGTAACAGAGTGGACGGAGGCCGTCACCGCATGGGAGAGAGATCCATCCAAGCCAAATCCTTTCCAGATTACACAAAGCAGTGAGTACAGGAAATCCTAAAATGGACATTCTCAATACTGATGGCTCATTTATCGCCAAAGCTATCACGCAAGCAAGTGTACGCCTTCAATTAGTGGAGGAGGATGCAGCACAGCTTCGGGATGGTGAGGCCAGTGCAGTTCATGATACGATATCACCGAGCATGGTGATAATGAGCAGCTTGGAGTTGGAGAAGCTTCAGTGAGCCTTGCTCATGTTCATTGGTGTGTTTGCTAACATCATATTCACAGGTGTCGATTGCATGAAGATACAGACGAATTGGGCTCACACTCCACTGACCTCCAGCATGCAAAGGTGCTCGAGCGTCGAAACACGCTTCAACGTCGCTACGATGCATGGTCGGAGGTTCAGCAGCTGTACATCCCTGCGGTCGCAATCTTGCGTTCACAAAACTCGGACAGTACTTCAAACGTCGTGCCTCATGCAAGATTATACCTGCCATCAGAGATCCTCGATAGAGTACGATGTGACCCTTTTCTTGTGGATTGTGAATACCGTCTGCGGCAGGCACAGGCACACGATGCGCTAGAGAACTTACGGCGACACCTTCGTCTACGAAGTCACCTCTACCATATCAAGGATAGGTTCGTGCGTGGTCAACGTCCTAACACGCGTGCACGTGGAATCATCGATACTGTACAAAGAAAAGTCGATACAGATGCCAAGCGTTATCGAAAGGCCCGCCGTGCGGTGGAAGTTCTCAGCATAGTCGTCGGGGATCAGACATGGCGGCGCGAGCTGCGCCAGCTTGACGACGGAGATATCAGAGGTATGTCTGAAGGCCTGTTCACAGAGACCGAGGGCCGCCGCACTCTGTCCTGAATTTGGCGGAATCCTGGTGTCGGCCCTGTCGATAGCAGCAGCGAAGATCAAGGAGTTCAAGAAGGTAAGTAGAACTTTTGAATCACTGTGCCGTGCTGTGCTGATCGCTGCTATAGCACTACGCGTCGAATGGTGCAAAGCACGGGCACGGGCCCATCGATGGTCTGAAGAGTGTCAATTACTCAAAGAAGAGATGCGGCGTGTTGTGCAGTATCACAACTACCAAGCTGAATGGTGGCTGGGCCTCATAGGGAGAAAGCCTGCCAGCTCAGATGAAAACCGCGAGGGCATGGCCGCGTATGCATTTCGACAAGCTGAGCTACGCACGTTGATGGGAAAGTTCTGCGAGAAATCATGGAGGCGAGTATCTGAATGGCTGAAGTCGGGTGAAGTACACACTGCCGATGATGCAGAAGAACGTTGACTATAATATGTCGCGACATGATAGTCTGGCAGTTGTATATTATTACATCTATATGTACATTATGTGTCGATGGACATGTCATGGCGCAGGACTCCGACAATATTTGGTCAGATGTGAGCACCATCACCCGTGCATGGTGCATTGAGCCTCTCGCTGCACAGCACAGAGGGGGCGGGAAGAACCGCACAGCTGCGCAGCACAAAGGAGGAAGGAAGGACGATGCATCGAGATGCTAAGGCTCGATGTTGTATCGTCCTCGCTGTGAGGAGCAGAGGCGGTGAATGGCGCAGAGAGAGGACGATGCATCGAGATGCTGAGGTTCGATGTATCGTCCTCGCTGTGAGGAGCAGAGGCGACGAGTGGCGCAGAGAGAGGACGATGCATCGAGATGCTGAGGCTCGATGTATCGTCCTCGCTGTG